AAAGTTGTACCAGCTGTATTCTGTTAGTCAAGCATGCAGGAGACCAACAGAAAGGATGCTAGGGCAGACTAAACAGGACAAACCCATAGGTGTTAAAAGGGACTTTCTCCAGCGCTAGGACAGAAGACAAGGATGTTTTCTGGAAACAGTCTACAAGAGCAACTAATAGCAAGTCTGGACCAAGCCTAAATAAAACATTGATATGATATGACAACAACACTTCAACGCATCCAAAAACTACAGTTAAGAGGAAATTACAGAAAAGTTACTGGTATCTTAAATAGTTAATAAATATTGGCATTGTTTATAAACTGGGAAAATTCCTGTGCTGTTCATTTCATTGGAACCTCTCCTATTGAAATCAATATTATTAAACAATAATGATATTTGGTCTTATGTAAGCAAATATTATGCCCTTGTGACTATACTTTGATTTTAAAACTGTAACAATCAACTGAACACTGCACCAATTTAGCTGAACTTGCAAGAATGACGTGTGTATGTGCGCATGCATGCGTAAGTAAAATAAAGTTTAAAAAAGTTCTACCTCTACCAAAGTCAACTTTTATGTCATTACTAAAAGGATTCTACTATTCCATTAGGTGGCAGTGCACGATCAGTAACTTAGGCCTTGAAGAAACCAAGCTACTAATAAAATACAAACTTCCACTGTAATTACATTTCTCTCGTAGTTAATTGCTATGAAAGTAACATAATCCCAAAGAATTCATTAGCTATTTCTAGCCAGATGAAGCATATTTATGATTGTTCCTTACCCCTGGGTTTTAAGGAATTAAAACCCAGTGGTGTTTTAATTGCTGGCTTTATGGAATGTGTTAGGAAAATTGTGGGAGAGATCCAGTTAGGTTTAGTGATTAAAATATCAGGCTAGAAAGTGGGAGACCATGAGTTCTTATTCCACCTTAGGCATGAAAGCCAACTAGGTGACTTTGGGCCAGTCCCTCTGTCTCAGCCCAACTCACTTCATAGGGTTGTTGCTGTGAGGAAAATAGGAGGAAGAATGTGTTGGATATGTTCATATTCTTGACTTATTTTGGCGGGGGGGGGGGGGGGGAGAGAGGAAGAGAGTGTGTCTGTGTATGTTTGGCCTGAAATGAACATTACAGTACTCTCTGACATGAGGAAACAGAGTGAGGAGATACAATCTCAAAGTGACAGAAAAGAGTTGGTATCTAGCCTTTCTTTTAGACTGCAAAGGTGAAACCTCCAAATTAAAGCTCCTGCTTTTTAAAACTAAACACATTCCTAGAGAAATGTATTTTACTGAGAATTTAATTCTGAGTGAAAGAGTCTTATCTTTAGAGAGTTCAGCGTTCCTGCTGAGGCTGCCCAGTTAGACATTTATGGCTGAGGCTGCCATGATAGCTACTGGCATGTTCCAACTGGTATGTGTCCCTATGCAAACAGCAGGGCAAATGCTGGACTTCACTTTTTGTTGAGATGCTGGTGACCTGAAGTTTTTCTCAACTCATGTTGTCATGAACAAATCATTCCCTAGTAATTTTTACATTAGCAGTTGGTAATGTAATGGTATGGTATTTCCAGGAGTTGAAGACTAGTTAAAATCAGGGTACTAATGGAATGGCTGAAAGCACTTGGGGAATTTCTCACCTCATATGTCAAGAAACTACTGAAACCCATGGCTGACCTATGGGATGCAGACAGGCCACGTTCCTAGGCACTTCTTCCCTCTGGCACAACTCACTTGGCTCCTTGGGGTTTACCAAGGAACTGAGACCAATAAAGCAGCTTGATAAGATGGTTAGAGGAACCTTCATGACAAACCAGGTTCACAATGGAATCAGATCCTCTTTCAGATTCATGCAAAATCCTTCTCTAGGATGGTGCAGCAAGGAGAGGCTACCCCATTCTATCTGTATAAGTCCCGTCAATTATGCTTATTTATTCTGTATGTCATCTCCATTAATAAATTGCAGAAAGGGAGCCAGAACAATTGGTGCAATGTGAGAAACATTCATTGGGTTTTTTTGCAGATAACCGTGATCAGTTTTGCTTTCTTTGGAGTTCCAGAGCTTAGGTGACCTCAGCAATCGCTTGTTAAGAGTCATGTGGCTACTGTTCACCTTTAGATTTTGAGATTTTTAACAGGATGCATGATGACTAGCTTGTTCAATGCTTGCCTTTCCTAGCTTATTAAACAGGACAGGTTAGAACTGATTCCGGGGTGTCTACAGGAGCTGTGTGCCACAGGTCAAAATGGCAGGCAAAATTAGGCAAGTGATATCCTGCTCTTATGTGTATGAGATGCATATTTACAAAACCACGGGGGCTTTGGTTATTTGACAGTGCTTGATTTCTTGGCATTATTAATAATTAAGGGAAGTGATCAAACATTTCTTGAAAGTGAGATGTGTATTTGTATTTTAAAATCTTTACTAACAAAACTTTCCCAGACATTTTTTCTAACTATCAGGCAATCTCAAATATTCCATTCTGTCCTTTAATACAGTATATTTTTTTCATATGCTTTTGCAAAAAAATATTTATGTATATCCTTTGAATGAGCTAAGCTTTCAAAAACATTCATTGATACATTACACTCATATAATCTGAATTTTTGTAGAATATGCACCAATTTTCATAAATACATTGAAATAACTAAAGATCAGAATCCTCCCTCCCAAAATATTAATTAATGTGGTTATATGTATCTGTAGCAATATAAGGAAAAGAAGTTTATGTAAGTGGCCAAGCATTTGATCCTTCAATTGCAATGTGAAACTATACAGAGCAGTAGACATATCACCTGGGTCTGATTATAAATCTCAGCTACATCCACAATCTTTTTATTTCAGTAGGTCACAGTAAGAATTCCTGACAAGCAACAGAGCCTGTAAAGCAACATTCAAATGACTGTAAAGGTCCATTCGATATATTCAGATCTCATTCAGTACTTTAAATATTAAAAAAAAAAATCGCAACTGACCATTCAAAAGCAACTGTTTATTTTGTCTGCCCTCTCACATACATTAAAGGGTTTCCACCAAATAAATGACCACTGAATATGTTTTCGGCTATAAAATATTGAACTTTGTAATACTTGGAACCAGGAAGAAATCGTCCATAATGAATATAGTTAAGCTTTTGTTTCAAAAATATTTACTGCATAAACCAATCAAGAATGAAATATCTTCATAAAAATAAGATCATCACATTTTTGTTTCTTGAGGCTATAAAATAATTTTTGCTACTGAAGGGCTAAAGTGAAGAGCACCCGCACCAAAATAATTTAAGAGAGGATAATAATCCTTTGGGGAAAACATTCAGAATACAGAAAAGTTTGTATATTCCAGAATATGGACAAAAATTAAAAAGCCAATGAGGTTATACCTTCTAACTTTATATTAAAACAAACCAATTTTTACTGTGGAAAAAGATCATTTCATTTCTTCCTATTATAATTATAAACTCATAGACAAGGCAACAATCATTATTATGCTAACAAATACAACAGTAAGAAAACATACTGTCTTCATTTAAAATTAATTATGTTTTTATCTATGCTAGATATAAAATTATTTTCCAGAATAAACTGTAAAATAGCCAAGGATGTTTGGGTTGCAGTGCTATATAGTCCTTGTAACAAAAGATGCTGATTTTTTTTAGTTGAACCCTGAACAATCTATAATCCACTGAGATTAGTAGAAAAGTGTTAAAGTATCAAAAGTTTAACAATATTTTTTTAATGGAAATGCAATTCTAAAGCATCAATCATAATTGAAGGGACTTATAAAACCACTGGTGAGCTACATACTGGAAATAGTGAAAGTTGCTATAGTTGGAATTTACATATATGCTTAACATTTATTCCAAGAGGCAGTAAAACTACTACAAAGTCAATAAGATTATTGGAGGTAGGATTTTATTGTATTTTATAAGGAACAATAGTACCAAAAATATGCAGCATTTATATCATAATTTAGTTCTCTTTTAAGAATATTTTAATCGTGTATTCTCTGAGTGTTACTTTGTAATTGCAGCATGTATGACAAGACTTGTTATACCTAGCTCACAAGCCTTCGGTGGTTTACTGTTGCTATCTATACTATGAAAGCAGGTCTTAACAAAAGAACAAATCAGTACTCATTTATCAATATGTCACTACTGAAACTTTGTTGTAATGTTTGTAGGAATTTAACATGACCACTACCAAGAACTACAGCATTTATGGTTAGGAAAACCATTAAGATTTCAATGAAACTAAAATACAGAATAGCTAGAAATATGTTTCATTGCTAGAAATGCATACTGATTGAAATATAAAGCTAAAGTATAAATTATCTAATATATTCTGCTATACGATATATTCTATTAAAAATATAAGGCAAAAATTGGAGTATTGGCTGTTAGGCAAGGTTGTCACTTACAGAGGTGTTATACCAAGGCGAAACTCGTACCCATATTCCAATTTTTATGGTATTTTAATATTTTATTAGCCTTATTTTAGGTCCATTCTGCAGATTATGCAAAACAAACTAAGATCTGATACTGAAGCCTAATTCAAATGTTATAATCTTAGGCCAATAAAGTGACCTGGAATTAACCTTTAAAAATGCAGTGCCCTTCTTCAATTCTAACTCAATACACTCAGAATCAATGCTGGTATTGTGGTGTCTGAAATCAGATATTTTAATCACCTCCAAACTGGGAAAACCTGAAAAAGTAATCTATACTTTATAAACCAGGATACGAAACCAAAATCTGATTATGGCCTGGGACATGCTGACAATAAATTACAGCCTAAGATCATTCATTCTCCACTGAATTAGACTTGCAACTAGATGTCAAACAAATTTACCTGAATATATATTTCCAAACAATTTACCATCTTCTTCTTCTATCAAACGGGAAATTGAAGAAATGTTTTTCATGATTAAACCAAATTCCCTATCTATATTACTCTCCTCAAATCCCAGATTCTAAAAATTGCTAGGAATATGCATGTGTTGAGTACTTACTTGTTTATCTCAATGCCAAGAGGATTAGCAGGCCGTAAAGACAAAGGGGGCATCCCTTTGTTTCTGTCCGTACGCATGTCATAATAGTTGATTTCATCCACCCAGACAGCAGACTGATCTAGGATACCTAGATAAAACAAGCACACACTCTTATAACAATAAACTCTGCCCAGTCTCAAGCACTTTGGGGACCACTATGACCTGGATGACTGAGAATCTCTACAGATATTTAATTTGGGGTTGTTGTTTTTTGGCACTATAACACAAATGTAAAAGGGAAAAAGCTAACTCACTGGTAAAAAAAACTTGCATGTTCTCTCCTGTTTCTATTGTTTAATATCACAAATTGAACCAAATATTCAAGATAGGATAACAAATAGGATACAGGAGCAAAGGTAAAGTTAAGTTGTGTCATCATATCACTCTTATTTGGAACTCTCATCTGAATTTACCAAAATTGATTGTTCATAAATCTGGGGATTATGATGTTAGCCTGAGAACAGGCAGGCAATCTCCTGGCCTCTCAAGAAGATCTTAATTAAATCATGATCGATAACTAAGAAAAACTTCATGCTGAATATAAACCTTTTTCTCAGAGAAGACTTCAAAAAATGTGGTAAAGTAGTACTTTACATAATCTTGAATTTAATTCCAAAATATTCATTCAGGGAACTTCAAACAAGAAACCTGCAAAGGTTTATATCCCCAGAGTTTATTGAATTAACCATACATCCAGATCTCATCAATAGTTAATTTTTAAAAGCTTAACATATTAAGTGTTAGAAAAATTATATACAAGTATGGATATATACACACCTATTTTTTCAGGCTTCAGAAGTTTAAAAGAAACAGTAGAAGTCCCTTTCCCTCCTGACTTTGTAGTTACGATAATGTCCCCTTTGTCATTCTTAGCTTGACCTACTCGACACACAATTTTGCTGGCAGACATCCATTCAGCAGTGAGAAGGCAATTGTGTCCACAGATTGTCAAGCCTTGGTTAATGAAGATTCAGAGAAAACAGAAAAGCAAAATTTTGTTCATGAGAACTTTAAAAATGCCATTATCTCCAGTATATTTGAAATGCTTTTATTTACAAATGCTACTCATATTAATTATGTTTATAAATACACTTTTAACAAACAGCTTAAATGAATCTGAAGGGATATTCTACATATAAAAACTAGATATGCTCAGCTTTACCCACTACTGAAAATGAAGTTAAAGACACAATATAAACGCGTAAAAGTCAAAAGTGTCTTTTTGCCATAATTGTGAAGCGAATCACTGTTATTGCTAAGTGAATCATGTAATTATTAAGCAAACCTGGCTTCCTGCATTGACTCTGCTTGTCAGAAGCCAACTGAGAAGGTTACAAATGATGATCACATGACCCTGGGACAGGGTCTATGTAATATATTCCAGTTGCCAAGCACCTGGATTTTGATCACATGACCACTGGGTTGCTGTAACGGTTGAGAAAAATGATAAGTCATTTTTTCCAGTATCATTGTAACTTTGAACAGTCACTAAATTAATGGTTGTAAGTAGACGACTACCTGTAACGGCAAGTAGTTTGATCTGTGCAAAGTCTAATTCCAAAACAATCAACAGATCAGACTGTTTCTCCTTTTACACACACACAAAAACCCTAAAAACCATTCCCTCCCTTCACAGAGAGCACCCAAGAACTTTCCCTCCCTAACTTGCCTATATATAAACGGTTCTACAGTTAATACTATAATATCTGCTGGGTTTTTTATGCTGTTAACTGCCTTCTTAACCCTATCTTTAGAATTCAGAGATTTTGTTTTGGGATTAACAGATTCCAAGACAGGATGCTATCCTGTCATTGGATATACAACACCCTGATGTTGGATCTATAACATGTAAATAAATCTGAAAGTACAGATTATGTCAGTGAGTGGAAGAAGAGGAAGAATCAGTTCATAGGCAACACTTTTAAAGTGAATCCACTGCTTTACTTCTCTGCTGGGCTCCATTCTGTTTCTGGAGACAAATCAGGCAGCAAAGGGAAGCTTAACTCCTGCCCCATTTGACGCCGTGGAGAAAGTTCTGCTGCCTGCAACATCCCCCAGCATGACTGGTTTGGCAGCGGGTCAGTAATGGTGTGTGGTGGCATTTCTTTAGGGGGCCGCATAGCCCTCCATGTGCTCGCCAGAGGTAGCCTGACATTAGGTACCGAGATGAGATCCTCAGACCCCTTGTGAGACCATATGCTGGTGCGGTTGGCCCTGGGTTCCTCCTAATGCATGACAATGCTAAGCCTCATTTGGCTGGAGTGTGTCAGCAGTTCCTGCAAGACGAAGGCACTGATGTTGCAGGCAGCAGAACGTTCTCCACGGCATTTCCAGACCCTGTCATGTCTGTCACATGTGGTCAGTGTGAACCTGCTTTCATCTGTGAGGAGTACAGGACGCCAGTGGCGAATTTGCCAATGTTGGTGTTCTCTGGCAAATGCCAAACGTCCTGCACAGTGTTGGGCTGTAAGCACAACCCCCACCTGTGGACGTCGGGCCCTCATACCACCCTCATGGAGTCTGTTGCACATTTGTGGCCCTCTGGAGATCATTTTGCAGGGCTCTGGCAGTGCTCCTCCTGTCCCTCCTTGCACAAAGGAGGAGGTAGCGGTCCTGATGCTGGGTTGTTGCCCTCCTATGGTCTCCTCCACGTCTCCGGATGTATTGGCCTGTCTCCTGGTAGCGCCTCCATGCTCTGGACACTACGCTGACAGACACAGCAAACCTTCTTGCCATAGCTCGCATTGATATGCCATCCTGGATGAGCTGCACTACCTGAGCCACTTGTGTGGGTTGTAGACTCCGTCTCATGCTACCGCTAGAGTGAAAGCACCACCAGCATTCAAGTGACCAAACCACCAGCCAGAAAGCATAGGAACTGAGAAGTGGTCTGTGGTCACCACCTGCAGAACCACTCCTCTATTGGGGTTGTCTTGCTAACTGCCTATGCTTTCCACCTGTTGTCTATTCCATTTGCACAACAGCACGTGAAATTGATTGTCAATCAGTGTTGCTACCTAAGTGGACAGTTTGATTTCACAGAAGTGTGACTGACTTGGAGTTACATTGTGTTGTTTAAGTGTTCCCTTTATTTTTTTGAGCAATATGTATGTGTTTGTGTGTGTGTATGTATATAAGTAAGTGTGTGTGTGTGTGTGTGTGTATTTTCTTCAGTTTTCGCGGGTATCTATATGTATGGTATTCAGCTTTGTTCAGGTATTTTCCCATATCATTATAGTTGTGCTTTTAAATTTGTAGCGACATTTCGTCAGAATCTCATCTGCCATCTGTATTGTGTGAGTCAGATTCTGTGAGAAACAGATGTGAAAGCCTGACTCACAGACGAACACAATTGTATTCTATAATATTATTCTATTCTATTTTATTCTATTCTATATTATAATTGTATAATATCTTTTTATTGATGGGATCCAGATTACATTGACAAATATCCAATCTTAAAGGATGGACAGAAATAGTCAGAGAAGGCTGATACCAAGGTCTACATCCATGGTTGTTATATACAGGTTTTTAGATGACTATCAGCATCTTGTATTGCACCTTGAAGCCCACTGGAATACTTCACAAAAAAGTGTAATATGTGGTATTGGGACATACCCATAACTACTGACAGTATTGTATTCTGGATCAGTCATAACTTCACAGTGGTCTTCAAAGCCAACTCCCTATGTGCATACTCTGATAATCCAAAGACAAGATGAGCTGTTGTGCCCTCCTGGTACACAAAATGAATCTCCACAAAAGTAAAAACTTACCTATCAGATCTGTTGGTCCCGTTCCTAGGTTTTCTCCTCGAATTGTGACCTTAGTCCATGCAATGCCTTCATTAGGAGAAATGCCCGTCACAAGAGGGGGCTTACGTGTATGAGACATAGTTGCCTTTCTTCTTTGATCAAAAGATGCAAATGTTCCACAAACTAATTAGCAAAAACATACACTTATAAACCGTCTTTATAATAAACATAGAACACTCAATTTTTATAGCTTGTTAAATTGCAATTATTTATTTGTTGCATTTCTAGCTTGGTGCAATCTGATAACCCTTGACGGATCAGACGATAAAAGAAAATTAAAATGTCAATGGTACATGTAAAATTACAGTTTAGTCACTAAACCAGAAAACCCATAGGTATTATAAGATTAATAAAATTTTGATATTATAACAATAAATAAATGCAATTTTTAACAAAAGCCCAATCATAAGATTTTTATTCCAGATTATATTTGGTGATACAGATGGTACCAGTTCTCTGTGAATTGGGGTTTTTTTTTCATGAAAGTTAACTTGATATAGATGCACTGATTCCTACAAATCAATGGGACATTTTTTACCCACCATAATTATATGTATTTAGATTTTTAAAACACACCTTTATTCTATGGTCTGTTCACTCCCAACAGGAGATATTGTACCCTTGAAATGTTGGCCCCCAACTCCCACGAGACCAAATTACTATTTGGAGATGACTGTAATTGTAATTCAAACAATATCTGAAAGGTCACAAATTCTCCAGCGCTCTCTATTAAGATCGCTAGTAGCTTCATTTAAACATAAAACTAGGACCGAATAATCTTCTGACCCTAAACCATAAAGATTATCTGCAAAACTGCCTGCCACCATAAACAAAAATAAAATGGACAGAGATCAGGTATAATATGTAAAGCTCCTTCAGTTGCTTCATGTCAAACCCTCTCCAACCTCAAGATCATCAAACCAAGGGGTGGAGTGCTTGTTGACAGGTTTAACTTGATTCCGTGAGATTCCTGCTTCTACCTAAAATAACGCTGAGTCCCAGGAGCTGGCAATAGACTTTGGAGGCGCCAAGCCTGCTCATCGTTTACTACGGTAGGTACAAAAGCGTTCCTTGCCTCCTTTTTAAAGCAAAATAAGGCACCCTCCGCGTCGTTTAAGGCAAAATAAGGCTCAGTCGACGCCCATTCTCGCTTCGCTGACAAGAGGCTCACCATTAAAAAAAAAAAAAAGACACCGCAACGCCACACAACACCGCCACACAATCCCAGCCTCTCCCTTCACGCCACCCGCCTCCCCAGCTCCCCCACCCCGCCCCGCATTCCCACCTAAGCCGACCTACCGGTTAGCGAAGGAGGCAGCCTGACTCCCTCCCCCGCCCGCCCCCAGCGTTCGGAAGGGGCGGAGACTTCCGATTGGCCCAATCCGCCGAGCGGAGCAGGAAAGGCACGTGACAGCCAAAGACGGCGAAGCCTGCGCGTAAACCAGGAGAGCGCACGTGACGAGACTCAAAGGGAAGTGTTGTAGCTGGCTGAGGCCGAGCTGTCACTCGGTGACTTCCAGCCAGTGGCTTGGCAGAAGGGGGCGGGAAAGTGAGCGGACGTTCCTATTCTTCTAGTTAGGGACGGAGAGGGCAAAAGGAAGAGGGAGGGAGGGGGGTAAGAAAAGGTGGGAGTTGCTGTCTGTGAGGGGAGGTGGTTGGAATCGTAGTATTTTATTTCAGAAAGCTGTCAGTTCGTTAACCATAATCCACAGGACCAAAATGGATGCTATTTTTTTTTCTTTATTGCCATTTAAAGAGTAAAACATAAAATACAAAAGATTTTTTTATGTGCCAAAGGTGCTTCTTCAGAGGCAACTGGACTTTCTTGTTTTTCTTTTCATCCAAGAAGCTTCTTCAATTCTGTACAGCCAAAGATCTAAGGCAGAGGTCTCCAAACTTGGCAACCTTAAGACTTGTGGACTTCAACTTCCAGAATTCCTCAGCCCTATGCTGAAAGTTTGGAGACCTCTGATCTAAGGAGATTCTCAAGTCATTCAGATCATGGTTGTCTCAACAAGCAACTGGATTTTCTTGTTTTCCTTTGAAGACGTTTCACTTCTCATCCAAGAAGCTTCTTCAGCTCTGAGTTGAAGAAGCTTCTTGGATGAGAAGTGAAACGTCTTCAAAGAAAAACAAGAAAATCCAGTTGCCCCTTGAAAAAGCACCTTTAGGATAACCATGATCTGGATGACTGAGCATCTCCATAGAAATTTTTCATGTAGTTAAAAAAAACAAAACATCACACATGATGTTGCTCTATGCTTCCGAAAAACAGACTGGAAAAAATGAGGTGGAAAAAGTGCACATTGATTTTGGCAGATGTTTTTTTTTTTAAAGGACTAAAAATGTAGCGCTTAAACTCACATCCTATGTTCAAGGTGCTCGAGGCTGCATACGTAATATTCCTCTTTGTATCTGTGCTGTATGTCTAACACAATCCAATGAGATACATTTGGATGACAGAGGATGACTTGCTTAAAGTCACCCAGTATACTTCCATGACTTAGGATAAATTGGAATTTGGATCTCTGGGAGAATAATTCATTTGTCATCGTTTTGTATGCTGATGAGAGCAGTTAGTACTGAATTACCAAAAGAGTGGCCTGTAAACAATATTTAGCAATAGATGAACTTTTAGATTGTTAATTAATGGTGGTGATGGTGAAGTGCTGTTCATTCCCTCAGCTGCTTTTTCCGAATTAGAAGAAGAGTTCAAAAATCGAATTAGAAGAAGAGTTCAAAAATCTCACGCAAGACATCCCCATTTGATTTGCTTGGCAAATATCTTAATGCTTCTTTTTAAAAATGGCATTATGAAAATAGATGCACAGAATAATAAAGGATTTACACAGTAAAACAGAATTCAACTAAAGTTAAATTACTCAGATATTTGACATTGAATTGATAGTTTGGGTAGGAAAGTGATACATTTTTCAGACGTGCTGATTGAAAAATGCTTCAACAAAATTTGTGTTTAAAATTAGTAGACCTATGTATAAGAAAAGAATGGAACAATATTACAAGAAAACATCTATATATTTCTGATATCTATAAAGCAAGGAATGTTACTGAGAATAATAAAATACAGCAATACAATACACTATAGACATTAATTACATCAAAACAGGTGCCCAACTGAAGATTATTCGCACATTTGGAATGAAGTTATAGTACCATAAAACAAATACAAGACTACAAATCTGGTGGGTTAAAATAAATAACAAGAAGAAAAAACATATGTATGTGGCTGTGTGTGTGTGTTATTCACTCCATTCTTTTTTCATGCTCTAGTCTGTGGTGGCAAAGTATTTAGGACAGATAATCAGTGGAATTAAGATGGAACTACATAATAACATTAGAGCTAATAGCAGTACACTTTAGAGGATTTTAAAAATTGGCACACTGTATGTCTTTCCATTATGATATGGATACATGTAATAAAAATGTTGAGCTTCATAAAGTCTTTTTCTAATTAACTGTTTTCATGCTTATTGCAGAACACTTGAAAAAAATCCTCACTGGAATGATGAGCATGAAGCAGACTTAAAGCATTAAGGTTTTTTGTTTGACCACTGTTTGAAACAGATAAGCTAACAGGATTGGTATTTTTAAAAAATAAACATGAAAAGCTTGGACAACCTTTGTCTACAAAAGTCTTCATATAGATTTTGATTCTCCCCACCGCCACCTATAATTATTTGTGGTGTCAAAAGCTGCCACAAGCTTTTTGCCTGCAATGAATTTCTTATACCCGTTGATTATGTCTGCTCATTTTGATTGTCTTGTCCTCTCTCCTGCATCACAAAGTTTCTTTTTTGCTGCTTCTATTATCAGTGTACCCTTTCCTTAACTGTGCAGGAAGCAGAGACTTGTAACAGGAACTTGGATATTTCCAGCAGAAATTCCTAGCAATGCCACCCAGGTTGCAGCTTTCTTTCCTAGATAGGTTTGCTTAGCAATTGAATTCCAAAAAGCTGGATTAAAAATATTTTATTGAGATGAAGAAAATGGGGTAAAAGAAGATGCTATCGTATGAAATTAATTAATTAAAATTTAAATTAGGTAATTTCCTTAATTCATCCAATTAATAATTAATGACCAGGCATTAATAGTCCCCTGTTAGGAGACAAAAACAAGACATAGTAATTTAAATCTATGTATGGGCATACCTCCCAGGCCTCCAAGATCATGCTACCAAAAATCAGATGCAAACCTGAAGAGAACATATAACGTTCTGGAATTTTCAAAGAAAATGAATTAAAAATTACATGCATTAAATTCCCTAAAAGGGAAAACATTCTAATCCTGCAGTTGTTTAACTGAAACCTTGGTTGTTAAGCAAATCCAGTCTCTTCCATTGACTTTGTCAGTACCTGGCTGGGAAGGTTGAAAATGATGGTCGCATGATTCCAGGACACTGCGACCATCATAAATACATATGAGTTGCCAAGCATTCAAAATTTGATCATGTGACTCTGGGAATGCTATGATGGTCATAAGTCCAAGGACTGCTTGTAAGTTACTTTTTTCAGTGCTGTTGTAACTTTGAATGGCCATTAAACCAATTGTTGTAAATTAAGGTAGTCTGCAATTCTAGTTATCTGAAAAATCTAATTTTAATCCCTCTAAAGAATTGTAGAGCCAGATTCATAACAGCTTTCCTTGATGTTATGAATATTATAAATCTTGTTGCATAATAAATTTATTTCTACAGGTTGTCCAGCAGAAGCTTGGAATGAATAAGCTAAACAATGATTGATTTCCAAATCATTTTATGAAGTTGCATGTTTGTTTAAAAAGTAAGGAAAGTTGTCATTTTGAACAAGAATTGGTGATGAATCTTAAATTTCACTTAAACCCTCTATATAGCCTTAAGCTACTTGAAATGAAAAGATAAAGTACAAGGTAAATTATAGTACAGGAAAAGACATGATTGGAATTAATTTCTCTTCTTATAAGCTACATTTGTGTCAAGGTAATAGCTGCAAATGACTGACGTGTTGGTTTCAGTACCTTTTTTTTAACAGTGCAATCCTTCTAATTTCTAATCAGTTCTCAAGAATATTATCAACAATAATATAATAGATTCCCCAAATATATTATAAAATATAACACAATTGTATATTACTACATTTTTTTTCTAACATTTGAGTTCAAAGAAACAATCAAGATCTCATGAACCAATTTATGGAAGTTGAATACATGACCACAAAAACAGAAAAATTGGTAAAAAAAAAAAGAATAAGGATTTGAGGTCACCCAATTTAATATCGTGCTCTAATACAACCCTTGTTCCATTATGTGATCCAAAGAGAGATAGCATCTAAATTGAAATGTCTTTGGCTCCAAAGGAGATATTTAAAATCTTAAACACTGTAACAAATATGTATAATTCCCATAAAGCGAATGTCTTAATTTCCCCTTTAAATAATCCCCTGCCCCCAAGTTCATCATCCAGGATATAGAGGGAGCCTATTTTGACATAGGAAAACCAAAATAATCACAGCACTCAGCAGTGCCATTAAGATTTTTGAGTCACAGGGGATTAGCAGTCTGGACTTGAAGCAGATGCTATAAAAGCACTTGATCAAGAAGTTCAGGGCATATTTTTTGACTGTGCTGCAGCTGTGAAGGATTGCTGCCACTAACTGTGGAATCAAGCTCAGGAGAAACCCTGGGCACAGTTCCGGCATCCGAAATAAATTAAAGTAAACAATGTTGCTCTCTCTCATCCACCCTGTTAGCAGCCTCTCGGCCAAGCTGGAGACCACACACCCAGACCACACAGCGCCAGCTGAACTCAGTCGCACGCAACATGGAGCTGCTGTCACTCAGCTGAGTTATTGGGATGATGGGGGGTGGGAAAGTGTGTGTGTATTTAAGAAAGCTGCTTGTCGCCTTCCCCTCCAATCTTTGCAGCTGGCTGGAGTTCTGTGTGGCTTGCAGAAGAAACTAGG